GAGAGAGAGAGAGAGAGAGAGAGAGAGAGAGAGAGAGAGAGAGAGAGAGAGAGAGAGAGAGAGAGAGAGAGATTGTCACAGGGGAGGATACTTGGTTACATACCTGATTGAGGATTGTTGTTGCATGCGCTGATGAGCGCTGGTTACTGTTGTTGATTGCGCTGATGAGCGCTGGCTATCTGAACCACGAATTTGTAGAATATGAGTATTCGTTGAAGTTTCTGAGCTGCGCTGATTTGGTGTTCTTTATCTGGCTTTGGTTGTGCATGTTTCGTGGAGAGAGAATCTGAGCGGTTCATTGCAGAGAAATGAAAAAGAAATAAAAGACAAATCAAAGACAGGGGAGGAGAAAGGCAAGAGAGAAAAAGGGAGAGAGAGAGAGACAGAGAGTTAGTTACCTGGTACAGAGTCTCTGTCATGCAGCATAAACGAATGTCCGATTCATGGTCAATTGGACCAATTTTTTAAAATAGCAGCAGGGTTCCAGCTTTGAGATACCTTTCTCAACCTTTTGGCTAAGATCAAGTGTCGTATCTGTTCTAAACTTCTCATCAGTTTAACATCTGACATGCGGTCCATCGGACCAATTAAAAAAAGATGAGTACAGGTGGGAAGAACATATGGGATGCGCTCCAATGTGAGAAATACAGAGAAGAGAAAAGAAGAGGGGGGAGAAGGAGACAGAAAAACAGGCGGGTGTCTGTTTTTCTTATTGTTTTATGATTCTTTAGATGGAATCGAAGCAAGGCTAGAAAGAAATAAAACGGGCAGGCTTGACAGAAGCGACAAAGCAACGAACACACAGACCTTTCCAAAAAACAAAACAATTAGCTCAGTTGATTGAGCACGTAAGTGGTATTCAGGAGGTCATCGGTTCGATTCCTTATGACGTCTATTCAATCCCCCGTCGGTCCCCTGTGATACGCTTCAGGTTCACCAGTGGAGATGATTGGCTTGGGCCTCCTGGCTGGTTGCAGAAGCAGCTGCATGCTTTCCAGCTCGTGCCAGGTGTTAGGAGCCGGAGTACTGCTCCCCGCATGGAGCAGAGTTGAGCACAGTAGGACCGGGAATCCAACCCATAACCCTTAGTAGGTAACGGGTACTCTTTGACCTTAAACCCTGTGGTTGACTTTCGAAACATGGAACGGGGTTCCTTGCTGGTTGGGTTGCCGTGCCCCTTGCAGGTCCGGAAGGTGGGTAGATCAGTTTGAGTACACAGCCTGAGGTAGGTAGTGCGAGATGGGAAAATATTGAGAAAAGAAAATAGCATAGCAAATGCAGTTGTCCCCCCATACGAGGAGCAGGCAGCCTACATTATGAAAAAAGAAAATAGAAAAAAAGAGACAGGGAGAGAGAGAGAGGACGCTCAACAGACCTTTATCGCATCATCATACCTCACAGATACTACCAAATTGTGCTAGGCGTACCATTTAGAGCTGTCTCTTATACACATCTAGATGTGTATAAGAGACAGGGTAGGTAGTGCGAGATGGGAAAATATTGAGAAAAGAAAATAGCATAGCAAATGCAGTTGTCCCCCCATACGAGGAGCAGGCAGCCTACATTATGAAAAAAGAAAATAGAAAAAAAGAGACAGGGAGAGAGAGAGAGGACGCTCAACAGACCTTTATCGCATCATCATACCTCACAGATACTACCAAATTGTGCTAGGCGTACCATTTAGAGAGAGTGAGAGAAGGACACAGAGAGAGAGAGAGACAGAGAGACTGAGAGAGGGAGGCTCAACAGACCTTTATCGTATCGTCGTAGCTCGCGGATACTACCAAGTCGTGTTTGGGGTGCCATTTAACCATCTTCACGTCTTGAGTGTGACCATAGAGGACAGATATGAAGGCAAAGTCATCCTCTTCCTGTCTCTCCCAGATCCAGACACTCTTATCCCGACTACATGTGGCCAAATACTGGCCAGACCTGCTCCAGGCAACACTTTTCACTTCGTTTTCATGACCCTGCAGGTGGGAATAACGAGCGCACAAAACAAAAGGATTTAGTTTTTTGTTAAATGGACCATTTATCGATTTCTGTGTTTCTGTTACGGACTCAGCCAGGGCTCGATCCCTGGTCCACGGGTTACCACCCGCCAGGCTGCTATTTTATTCCGAGTTCCTGATTTCCGGTTTCTGGACTGCTGGTGCCCTCTGCAGTTGGCGCCAGAGAGCACAAATGGGTAACCGTTGCCCGTACCCGGCTGTACCCAACTGTAACCGCCTGGTTATGGGCGGGTATGGGTACCCTTTCCGAAGGGGGAGTTAGGTATGGGCAGGCACAAACAAAAGGTGGTGGTTGTTAGGGGGGCCACAATTGCCCTTTTTGGAGATCAAGGGTGGGTAGGGGCAGGTAGGGGTAGGGGTAAGCAAAATAAAAACGGGTATGGGCAGCCGGAAAAAAAAAAATAGACAGGTATGGCAGGTACGGGTGGCCAAAAAAATGAAGGGGTGGGTACGGGCGGGTAGAGGTTCCCATCGGGTAACCATGGTATACCCGATGTGAGTTTTGTAGCTTTGCAGGCTTTGTATTTTTGCTCAAGCATAACACTCTTCTCATATTCGAAATTTCTTGCTTTCCCATGAAGCAACGTTTTTCCTCGCAAGGGTGAATTTTATATCTCTTTGTTTATTTATCTTTTGTTTTTCAAAATTTAAGACAATTTTCATATGTGTGTAACCCTGTGTATGTAACATTTATGTGTGTGTGTCGCAGGTGTGTATGCGTGTTTGTGTGTGTCAGAGTGTATGCGTGTGCGACAGACCGAGGGTTGTTGCATTTGCAGATGCTATACATGTTGCATAGGCTGCTGTAGCACCAGATGCATCCATAACAGCATCAGAGTGACCAGATGTAACAACTGTTGCTGTTGCGGCGGTAGCTGAAGCAGCTGCCACATCTCGAAAAAAAAAATAATAATAATAATATTAACAATAACAAAAACAACCACGTCAATCCTGTGACGTCCAGGGGGTTGGGGACAGTTGGGGGCTGTTAAGGACAACCAGGGGTTAGGCGCAGTTAGGGACAGTTAGGGACAATTAGGGGCGGTTAGGGACAGTTAGGAGCAGGTAGGGACAATAAGGGGCGGTTATGGGCGGTTAGGGGATGGTGCGTGATGAGCATGGGTGGTTGTGGGTGGGTGCCTATAATTATGGGTAGGTACGGGTGGGTACTGGTAAAGAAACTTGGGTAGGGCCTATGGGTGGTAAACAAACAGTTTGGGTTCAGGTGGCCATGGGCGGTTTTGAAAAAAAATGTTCATGGGCAGATATGGCCAGTTACATGCTGAAGAGGTTCAGGTAGGGTAGGTCTGGGTATACTTTTTTTTTTTTTTTAGCAGGTGGAGATGGGTAAGGGTCCAGCATGCTAGGTATAAAGTGGGTATGGGTGGTTGGTTCTCAAAGAGGGTGTGGTTAGGTCAGGTACAAGTATTCCTAAAAATAGCAGTTGCAAACTTTGATGGATGCTGCAGAGAGAATGGCAACCAGCAGATTATCAGATCAAGAGAGATGGAACAAGAAGAGATACGTAAGGAAACAGAAACTAAAGGTTTGGTGACGTTGTCCTCCTATTCAAAATTTCCCTTGAGACTCAGTGGACCAAACAATTGGAGCCCAGATGGCTCGGTCCTTACAAAATTACAGGTGAAGCAGAAGGCAAAGTCTATGAGATATCAGAGATGGATGGCTCGAGAGTTCATGATATGGTAACAGGGTCAAGACTTCGTAAGTTTATCTTCAGAGACCCTGACCTGGTCCCTACAACGATCACAGGAAAAGGAAAGAAAAGTCAATCATCCAGTAAGACAGCAGTTTCAGAAAGTTGAGAGCTACGTAGCACCGTGTTCGCATTCGAAGGCGAACGCGAACATGTTCGCCCGAACGTGAACAAGCGCCCAAAACCCTCCGAACGCGAACATAAAAAAAAGAAAAAAACAGTTCTCTGAAAAATCTGAAACAAATATATGTTATGTAAAATAATAATACAAGCAACTTTTGCCCTGGAGTCATGTTCAAATTTGTAGCCCATCACGAGTTAAAAATAAAAAACCGAAAAAATATATATATACCGACAGTCTGTAGAGTTTTCCATCTGGTGTGGGTGAGTGATAGTCTACTTTGATTTTGGTTAAGGTAGATTATCATTTACAGTGTAATCAGTGAGGGGATTCTGCAGACTGATGAGGGTTCAGCCTCCTGATGAGTCGGTGAAACTCTGACGAAACAGTTTGTCACAGCCCCTCATTTGTTGTCCTCTTCTCTCTCTCTGCCTACGGTTTACCGGGCAGTTCTGTTTGTGACGATATATTTACATATATTTTACGAAAAAAAATACGTTCGCCCGAACATGTTCGCAAGCTGTTCGCGCGAACACGTTCGCGCGAACGTGAAGGAGCGCGAACGTGAAGGAGCGCGAACACGTTCGCCGTGCTACGCAGGCTAAGAGAGTATAGTGAGGCAGTGAGGTACTGTAAAGATAAGGGTTTCGGCAGACATTGACTACTCTTGCATTGTGAATTCAGCATGTCAGACTTTATCACAAGGGACTTGGGAGAGACTTTTCCGATGATCCGTATTTGTTTCTGCATCTGAACTGATTTTACTATTTTTTATAAGCGACAGAATCAATGAGATCAAAGTGTCATGAATGATAGGCCACAGTCGATCCATGAATATCAAATCCCTAAGTGGGTAACTAACTGTGAAGTGCAATTGCAGTAATATCGAGTTCGGAGAACTCGTGGCTGCGGCACATCAAAGAGTAACTAGTATTAATCTCAAGAGAAAATATGATCGGCATAAAGAAATTCAGCCTTGCTTGACGAGAGAGTTGTCAGCCTGGGGACTAGATGTTTCTTGACTAAGTTGCCTATCTTTCGTCCCAGATGAGGGAAGGGACCTCTCTGGGGCCAGTATCTCTATGTTTCCTTGAGGCTGATGGGAGGTCTATTGGGAGTATTCTCAGATGAGGAAAGGGACCTCTCTGGGATCAGCACTTTGTATTTCCTGAGGCTGAAGGGAAGTCTCTAGGAAGTGCATTGTCGGTTGTCGCTTGTTGTTGTTCAGTGCCTTTTGAGACCGAAGGGAAGTCTTTTGAGAAATGTTTGTTCTGATATCTGGGGCATGGACTGTTTGACTGCGGGCTTGAGATGTTTGTTTGGCTGTCTGTGCCTGGGATTTTCTTCTCTAACCTAAAGATGCATTGATTGTCGGGGCTAGCGAGAGCCTTACCGTAGTAGGTTGCAATCTGGTGGGGTCAGCAGGTCTCCGACGCGAGTGTCGAATTCCGTAGTTGACTGAGGCTAAGACTCCGGGAGTCTGGCCTGTGAGGTCAAAAGGGGTCAGCACCGCATTTAGAGGATGCAATCCAGTAAGGTTCGCCAGAGCCTGGACTCGTGGTTAGACCGGGTCCCACGTTCGAAAATTTAGGCAGGGCACCCAGCGCCCTAGGCCAAAAACTGGTGGGTGAGCCGGTCCCCGATCGCAGTGGTCGAATCCGGGTACGGGACAGTTGGGCTGAATGAAGGTTTACTGTCATAGGGTGACCAGACCCGCTATAGTCTGGGTGTCCTGGCGAGAGTGCCAAAGGGTCACCATACTCGAGTAGTGGGTATGGTGGTCTTGACCTGGAGGCAGGTTAAAGGGGTCGTCAAGACAGATAGTCTGATTGGTCCTGGCCTAAGGCGGGCCGAATGAGGTATGTCAGACTGACGAGAGGCCTGTCATTCCTGGCCAGTGGTGGGCCAAAACCAAGGCAATCAATAACTCTTGGGTATGAAGAACTGTTTGTATTACTTATTATTTTATTTTGGGTTTATCTTATTTTGTTCTATTTAATTATTGTTTGATGATTGTTTGTTCTATTTAATTATTGTTTGATGATTGTTTGTCAGTAAGCCTGTATGTTGGGACTGTGGAACTTGCTGTTTTGCAGGATCATGCAGACACATCAAAAGCTTCAAGGCCAGGGAAAAGAAAAGGGGTTTGGTATCCCCCTTTATTTGTCTGAGAAGTGAGGATATGCCTCGCTCAGACCAAAGAAAAATAACAGGGTTTGGTATCCCCAGAGTTGCTTGAGAAGTTGAGAAGACGTCTCACTCAAGTCAGAGAACAAGAAAAGGGTTTGGTATACCCTATCCCCAGTATGGCAGACAGAAGGAGTGTCCTCAATGTTAAAGTCAATTGGACAAATATCCCTGGCACCACCGTCAAAACAAGGAACAAGGTAACTTCATAGCTGAAAAAGTTCAGCGACAAGTCAAGCCAGCAGCAGATGAGAAATCCTTCCTAAATTCATTTGGTGGCCGACAAGCGGCCTGGTTCACAAGGAACCTGCATCCCCGACCTCGAGGTATTCAAACTCATAAGCCAGGGGCGCTATGGAATGGACTGAAGAGTCAAGAAAAGAAAAGGATTCAGAAGTTCAAGGAAAAATCACGCTTATACAGGATATAGAGGATAGCCATGAACTCGAGCTGAAGAAGTGTGAGGAGAAAGATAAGGCAGAAAATAGTACAATCACTAAGATGAGAAGAGGGAGAAATTGTACATGGGACAGAGGTTGATGGAATAGGCATTAGGGCTCTACTTGCCGCGGGGATAGTAGGTGCTCTAGGTGAGTATGGAGGAGAAGAAGTGTCGGGCATGCTCCTCAAACTTCTTCTAGAAGTACTTCATCCTCGTAGGGGATGGAGTCCTTTCGTACCAGCCGGTAAAAGGCTGGCGCGGGTATGGCCTCATGTGGGAGCCGTAACCTCGCACTTCCTCGTCCTCCTCTGAGCTATATTCATGCCGTGTGCGAGTTGCCAGCTCTTCACGAGTTTTTCCTCCCCTGCCACCTCTTCCTCTTCCCTGTCCTCGACGTGCCTTCGGCATGGCGCGTGCGTAGTAATGAGGACGCGAGAAGATACCGTAGGAGTAAAGAGAACAACGCTATTAAAAAAGGGAAAAGGGAGGTGACC